GTTGCTCTTCATCAGAGAGCCCGAGTGGGACGGGCAGGAGGACAAACCCTGCTCCCCGCTCCCGCACAGCAGCGGGTTGTGTCTGTGGCCACGGGCCGGCACCATGGGGCTGGCCTGGGGCAGGGGCAGGTCCCCCGGGACCATGCTCTCCTTGTGCGCGTAGGAGATGGAGGAGAGCAGGTCCTGCAGCGAGGCGTTCCTGTAGGAGCTGACGGGAGAGAAGGTGGCCTGCTTGTTCTCCTGGATGGTCTGCATGGGCAAGCGGCGCATGAGGCTCATGGCCGGCTGGCTGTAGATGGTCCCACAGTAGGTGTTGGTGGCAGCCCCCATGGTGGAGCACTTGGAGTTGAAGGTGAAGCTGGAGCTCCTCTGCCGCAGGGCAGCCGGAGGGAGCTGCTGCGAGGGGTTCATGGGGTAGCTGTCCTGCAGGTCCTCCAGCATGCTCTCCCCAAGGCTCACGTTCAGGCTGATGGTGCCCGTCAGGTCGGTCAGCCGGGGCAGCTCCACGGAGCAGCGGGCGTTGAGGGAAGGAGACATGGTGCTGGAGGGACTGGGGTACATCAGCGGGGAGGAGGGCGTCCCGTCGTCCTCCTCCAGCTCGTCGGGCTCGTGGTTGGACATGATGGGCGAGAGGCGCCCGCTCAGGGTGCTGGCCGTGGAGTTGGCCCGTGTCCTGAAGTCGGCCCAGGCGTCGTACTCGTCGCTGGCGTGGGACGCGGGGCTCTCGGACCACTTGGCCTGCTGGGAGGAGGGGCTGTCCCCCCCGTGCTCCTGCGTCACCTGCAGCTGCTTCTTCTTGCTGGCCTTCCCCTTGATGCGCAGGAACTTGCTGTTGTTGTCCATGGACACCGCCCGCCGGCGCGGCGTCTTCCCCGTCTTGCCGCCCTCGGGGTTCAGCATCCACCAGGAGCTCTTGCCCGTGCCCTCGTTCTGCACGCGGATGAAGCGGGTGTGCAGGGAGAGGTTGTGCCGGATGGAGTTCTGCAGAGACAGCAAGGGCAGAGGGGAGGGTCAGCAGCAGGAGGGGGATGCCTGCGGGGCTGCGGGGGTACGCGGGGCATCCTGGGCTCCATCCCCCAGGGCACTGCTGGAGGGGTCGGGGCTCAGGGGGCTCAGCTGGTCGGTCCCACCCACACCACTGCTGTGCACTTCACCTCCAGGAGCCCTTTGCTGCATCTATCAGCTCCCTCATTAGCACAATCACTGTGATGGGGTGGGGGGGCTTTAGCACACTCCCCAGGTACCTGCACCAGGCAAGACCGTGTCTCAGGGGATTCTTCTTCTCTGGCAGGAGACCAGGGGTGGACAAGGTGAGGAGAAAACAAAAGCAAAGGAGAGTCAGGACTATGCAGAGGTCCAGGTCTTCTCATCCATCCCACTCACAGGCCCAGCTGAGCTCACTGGGATGCTCCCAGCACAGCCTTGCCCACACTGCAAAGACCCCAGCCCACTGTCCCCGCTGCTGGGCACCCCTCAGCCACACGGGCAGAAGGAGCACACACTGCTGGGTACCAGCCCTCTGGAGTTGGCTCCAAACCACTTTTCCAGCCCATTTTGTGACATGCTCCCCTTCTCCCTCACTGCTGGGGAGAGAAGCATGTGCCTACAGCCCAAAGAATGTGTCAGCACCATCCAAGAGAGATCTTGTCCCCAGAAGTCCTGTCACCCCCTGCAAGCAGGGCCAGAGACCCACGCAGAGGGTCTGTCTGTCTGCGGGTCTGCAGGCTGGGTCTGGGGCAGGGACAGAAAAGGACATGCACCTTCAGCAGCACAGGGGGGTCTGCAAACCCAGCTACATCCCCCATTGCCCAGGCCCGGGCACCTCTGGCTCCCTGCATCCACATCCAGCACCTCCAGGGGGTTTCCCACTGGCAGCAGGGATGCCCCTGGGGCAGAAGCAGGCACCAGGGGCCATGTCCCCACACAAGCATACCCGTGGGGTGACAGCCTGGGGTGACCCCAGGGAGATGCCTTCAAAGCTCCAGCCAGGGGGTGACATCATACCTGAGGGGAGATTGGAAGCAATGGGGGGGGGTTGGTCTCTTCTCTCAAGGAATAAGAGGAAATTGCCTCAGGCTGCACCAGAAGAGGTTTAGATTGGATATTAGGAACAATTTCTTCTCTGAGAGGATTGTCAGGCTGTCCAGGGCAGGGGTGGAGCCACCACCTCTGGAGGGATTTCAAAGCCATGTAGATATGGTGCTGAGGGTTGGTGAGTGGACTTGGCAGTGCTGGGTTAATGGTTGGACCTGAAGATCCTAAAGATGTTTTCCAACCAAAATCTTTCTGATTGTACTACACCTGCCACTTGCTGCTGCTTTTCTGCAGCTCCAGGGATGCTGCTCCAGCTCCCTGCACCTTGGTCCCCCTGGGTCCAGAGGCAGAGCCCAGGGAAGAGCTGCTGAAGGGCAGAGGCAGCTCCTCCTGCCCCTGCTGAGCTGCAGGGGGGGTGGAGGGATGGGGATGGGGAAGGAACCAAGGTACCAGGGAGAAAGTTTGGTGCTGTTGCTGGCGTACAGCGGAATACTAATGAAGAGGCGAGTGAGCTCCAGCCTCATCTATCATATTATGTAATGGCTTACTTCTCTGCACTTCATTTATTTGGAGATTGCTCCCAGGCTGGCTCCTCGCCAGCAGCCACCAAATCCAAGTCTACAGAAATCAATCTCGCACTGACTGATTAAGCCGTGTTTAGAACTAATTGCTCCTTCGTGTGTGGGGAGAATAAATTACAGGCTTTAATTTCACATCTTTAAAATGCAACTGCAGGTATGGGCTGGCCATTAACCCCTTCCTGCATGGCCCTGTGCACAGCTGGGGAGGGGGCAGGTCCTGGCTGGCACAGCTCAGGGGACACTCCCTGCCCTTTGCAGTGGTGGCTGCCCATGCTGGTGCTGCTCAGAAAATCATAGAATCAAGGAATGGCTTGAGTTGGAAGGGGCCTTAAGGACCATCCAGTCCCAACCCTCTGCATGGGCAGGGACACCTCCCACCAGCCCAGGTTGCTCCAAGCCCCATCCAACCTGCCCTTCAACACTGCCAGGGATGGGGCAGCCACAGCTTCCCTGGGCAACCTGGGCCAGGCTCTCACCACCCTCACAGCAAAGAGTTTCTTCCTAATATCTCACCTGATCTCTCCTCTTTCAGCTTGAAACCATCCCCCTTGTTCTCTCCCTCTCTGCCCTTGTCCCAAGTCCCTCCCCAGCTTTCCTGGAGCCCCTTCAGGCACTGGAAGGTGCTCTAAGGTCTCCCTGGAGCCTTCTCTTCTCCAGGCTGAACACCCCAACTCTCCCAGCCTGGCTCCAGAGCAGAGCTGCTCCAG